AGGTGCGGGGTGTGGCAGGGGGCTCAAGGCAGGGGGTTGGGGTGAGAGGTGCAGGCAGGGGGCTCATGACAGGGAGTTGGGGTGCCATGCCTCCAGGTACCTCCCCTGAAGCTCCCATTGGCCGCGATTCCCCATTCCCATTGGCCGCGATTCCCCATTCCCGGCCAGTCGGAGCTTTGGGAGGCAGTGCCTGGAGCAACCCCCGGCCCTAGAGACATGGTGCCCTGATGGCCGCTTCTGAAAGCGGCGCAGGGCCTGCGGCACCACAGGGGGCAAATCCCACGGGCCAGATCCAAAGCCCTGAGGGGCCGGATCCGGATCTGGCCCATGGGCATTAGGGTGTGCCCGGGCATACCCGGCACACCCTGTGCGCACGTCTATGGGTGGAAAGCAGGCAGCATGAGGCAGCTACCATTCCCCCAATTCCCTGTGGGCATGCAGAGATGGGGAATGGGTGGGAGGAGCCTTGACTCTACTCCTTCCTCCAGTGCATCAGCCAGCACTTGTTTCCTGCCTTGCTCAGCACCAATTGTGGTTATAATCTAGTTCTTTTATGTTTAAGCAAACTCACTTGTTTAAATGTATCTCTAAACCTCACCCATCATCTTACCGCCCCATGATAGATTGTCTCTTATAAATATCCTACAAAAAGTGTTTCTTCCTTTTAGGAATATAAATTGGGAGCTCCCTGCAGTGTGTTAAAAGGAGTCACAGTTCTAGCACTACTTCTTATAGTTTAATGATTTAATTAAACACACAGGTCTGGGAGTGTTCAAGTTTGCTGTTGGAACTAATTTACTGGTAATCATCAAGTACTAAAACCTCTTATTCATTGAATGCCAGTCTTCCCTAACTGTCTTTGTTTGCTCTGTATACAGGAAATGGCTAGTAAATTGGGTTAAAGCTCCAACAGATCCTTTGAAGATTACATTTATAGGGTTTTTGTGGTGTAAATGCCTTTTATGAGTTTTTCTCCTGCACCTTTACATTTTAAAGGCATCTGGGCAAGAGTGGCAGAGTTGATGCAGCATGTCACAAAAAGGGAGGTGCTGTGCTCTCATTGTGACATTATTTTTGTTCTTTCTTGTTTTACTGTTTTTCTTATGTTAAGTAATTCAGACTGGAAATATATGGTCACTGTGTAAGGAAAAATCTAAGAGGACTATGGCTATGGCTACACTTGCAGATGTAGAGTGCTGGGAGTTAAACCCTCAGAGACAACAGCAGGGAAAGCGCTGCCTTGTGTTTACACTGTCAGCTGCAAGCGCAGTGATGTGCACATTAGCAGCTCTTGCAATGCCACAGAGAGCAGTGCATTGTGGTAGTTATCCCAGTGTGCAAGTGGCTGCAGCATGCTTTTCAAATGGGTGGGGGTGGAGTGTGACAGGGAGTGTGTTGTGTGTATGTGGGGGGAGAGACAGTGTGTTTTGGGGGGCAGAGAGTGTGTCAGCATGCTGTCTTGTAAGTTCAGACAGTGGCAGGGGGAAACCCCGACATCAGCCTGCACCCCCACCTCCTGCCTCTCTCATGCACACACGCCTGCCTCCGCAGCAGCAGCATTCCACAGTAATGGTTGGTTTTGTGTCCCGGAGCAGATAAGCATGCCAGCTGTCAGAAACGGAGCTTTGAAAGGGGCTATCCGCATGCCTGCAGCTGAGTTCAAAACAATGACCAGAGTGGCCATTTGACTTCAAGGGATTATGGGACATTTCCAGAGGCCAATCACAGTGCAGTAATGCAACACATCATCCACAATGACACCCAGGCGTTTCAGCCAGGGCACAGCAAGCTCTGTGCTTCTAATTGAGGTGTGTCGGAGAAAAACAGAGTTCTCACTCTCTTTTTTGGGTGCAGCAAATCAGATACTTTATTCTCAAGCAATTGCACAGAGAGAGAGAGAGTGCACTAGGATGCAGGTTTCCCCCTCCTAGGGTTACAGCTAGCCTGACTCTTGCTCACAGAAGAGACTGTATGCATTGAAATCCCCTTCAAATTCCTGTCAGTTCTTGCTCTACTTCCACAGGTCGATTACCAGGAGCGCTCCAGCTGCAGAGTCCAGACAATCTAAGTGCCTTGCCAGTGTGGACACCTCAGGAGTTAGGGTGCCCGGGGCTGATTTAATGCGCTCTAACTTGCAAGTGTAGCCAAGCCTTAAAGCTTAGTCTCTCTTACACTGGTGTAAATCAGGAGTAGCCCTATTTAGGTCAATGCAATGATACCACATTAAGTTGGTTTGAGAGTAGATTCAACCAATCCAATTAAGTTCAGCTATGACTTAATTTGCATAGCTGTCTGTGCCGTGAGCCTTGTTTTCATTCTCAAATTTCTAATTCCTACCAACAGAAATAAGGTGAATTTTCTGTTGTCTACCTGTTCTATTACTAACTAGAGCAGTGGTTCTCAAACTTTTGTATTGGTGTCCCCTTTCACATAGCAAACCTCTGAGTGCAACCCCCCTAATAAATATATAAAAAAGTATTTTTAATTTAACACCATTTATAAATGCTGGAGGCAGAGCAGGGTTTGAGGTGGGGGCTGACAGCTCGCAACGCCCCATGTAATAACCTCAAACCCCCAGCTTGAGGACCCCTGAACAAGAGAAACAAATCTTGCAAGTTATGTTATCTGAAACTAAAATAAGTAGTTTTATGTCATGCCAACCACAGTCAAATTCAGAAAATAGTTTCAGTTAAAAAAGATGAGTGAAAAAAGTCAGTGTTCCATTTCAACATTTTTTTTAAATGACACAATTGACTTTTCATTTTAAAACAATGTTTCATTTTGAAATTTATCTATGTTGTGTTTTTTTTTAAAGAGTAAAAAGCACTCAAATGAAAATTTTTTTTAAAAAAAATCAGGTTTTGTTCAACCTAAAATTAATTTGTTTTTGTTTTAGTGCGGAAAAGCCAAAAAATGTCCATTTCAGGTTGAATTTCCATTTTTTAAAATGTTTTTGGTTCAGCCATTGAAGCAAAAAAATCAGTGATTCACTCGGCTCCAATTGAGTGCTCTGTAATTTCCAAAGCATTTCTTATCCACTTATTACATTCCATTTATTTCTTCATGCAAAATCTTTGCTTACTGTGCCATTATTATGTGTTCAAAGCTCTGTGGGTCTGATCTAAAACCCATTGAAGTCAAGTGCTCTATACTTATATTATTCTTACAGTGGAAAGCCACATGTTCATCATCTGTAAATAAAACCTCTTGTACTAAGGTACCCATTATGTGTCCCAAGACCAAATGTGGGCTGCAGACCACCTTCTGACCACTGATTCCCTGGAAATGCTGATTGCTAGCCAGCTGCAGGGTTTTATTTCTGTGTACATAAGCCACAAACAGGTTTTATTCCCCTTGCTAAGAAGACACATTTCAAGTGAATATTGTGATGCCCTTTTATTTTTGATTAAAAACAATAATGTAAATGTACATAAAGTAACAACAGGATAATGATATTGATCTCTTATATAGATCTTCCCATGAAGTGGTATTTCACAACACAGATGGGAAGTGGGGGGTGCACACAGAAAAGTTAATGGAGAGTTTAGCAAGTTGTGGCGTGTGATGTTCATTCATTCTCTAACCTCTGTGACTTCCGGAGCCGGGGGAGCAGGTTGAACAGTGCCACAGAGATGCATTTCTCACTCCAAAAGCAGAGGGGGAGAGAGCCTCTCTTCCACACTGAAGAGGAACAGACCCTAAATAAGAACAATCTGTAGTAAACTGCGAGGCCATCAGGAAGTGTTGTGCTCTCCTTCGCTGTCTTTAGCCTCTCCCCAAGCCAGTTCTTTCATACAAGTTTTTCTATCTACTTTTTGATACCTTGTGGCTTTGATGCTTTGTCTGTCTTGAATTTTTCTTTAGTACCTATCAACGTAATAGCTAAATTCTCTCTAAATTGAATTGTTTCTAGCTAATTCTCTTGCCAGTCTTTTCCTTGTACTCTTCGGGATACTTCTGCTTCCCTTTGATTTAAAAAGTTGCTCCTCTTCTGAGACCTCCTGGCCAGGAGTATATTTTCTATTTCCTTGTCTATCATAGGCATCCTGAAAGTACCCATTACTGCTAATATTACTCCCTCCTCCATGTTGTTTTTTACTGCTTGGAAATTCCAAATCTCCCAGTGTTTTGCAAAATCCACATTTATTCATGAGCTTGGCCTGTAATTTTCACAGGAGAGAGAAAAGGTGAGATAAGAGTTTGAATTAGATGAAAAATGGCCTATATTTCCTACTTCATTAAATATCTGCTTCAGGAAATCATCTCAACTTGATTTGAATAGAATGCAACAGAGAAATACGCCTCTCTTCCCAATACTTAATTCTATCCCCATTTAAGTAAGTATCAAAATTTTGACTGACTTCAGAAGAAATAGGATCAGATGCCCAGTGATTTCCCAGATCTTAATGATTTTTATATCTTTGGTATTTTTTTTCCTGGAGGAAAATGCCAAGTCTATTTGCTCTCTTTTGTCACTACAAAGTTTTGGCATATCCAGTTTGTTGAGAGATCTTTATATGTGCTCTCCAGAAGCTGCAGATTATGACAAACATGCTCCATTGCAAGTACAGCAGAATCGCCTATTGCTTTCCTCTGGTTTTGTTTTAATTTGACCCGCAGGGAGCTAATTGCAGGAGATGCATGCTGAGCTTCATTTTAACATAGTTGGGATGTCAAATGTCCCTGTTTTCTCACCATGATCATAATGTCTTTGTTGAAGGTGAAATAACACATATTTTGCCTCATTATCAATATTACAAAGCTCAGTTTGAACACCAGAAGGAATTAAAATGTTTTGAAAATTTGCATATTGAATCTGAAGGTCCTTAATTTTCTTCGTTGTTTTATTTTCCTTCTTGACTCTTTAATTCTGAGAGGATTTAGCAATAAGAAAGGATTCCCATAATATTGATGGCAATGTCACTTACCCAATGTTGCTTTCTAGAAAATCTAAAACTTCAGCCTTTTTACTTTGGTTCAGAAAAACATTCTGATTCAGGAAAGCAGTTAACCATGCTGTTATTAAGCAAGTGCTTTCCTGAACTGGGTCCTGAATGACTGTACTGCATAAAGGTTGAATGAACACACTCTTGAAATACTTTGCTGACCATAAGTGCTGCTGAACAAACAAACGCGTGCACGCACACAAATCAGTTTGAAACTGAAACTGAATTCCTTTGTTTTTTCTTGCTGAGATGACAAGCCAAAATAATTTTGTTCAGGTCAAACAAAATGTTTTGAATGTCAATTCAAATCCAAGTTTTCATTTTGAAAATGTTGTTTTGAATCAGCATTTCATCTAGAAAATGCTGATTCAAAACGAAATATTGAAATGGTTCATTTTGACATTTTTGAAACAAACCACGTGAACATTTCTGAAATTTTTGTTTTCATTTTTTTCCACTGAAACTATTTGCTTGAATTCAACTCACATTCACTAATAGATTCAGTGGTCCCCCCCAATGCATTTTTTGGTGAATTTACTATTTGCCAGAAAAAAATTCACCCAACTATAATCGTAAGTAATGCAGCCACCCCAAACTCGTGCTGATAAGACCATCAGCATTAAACCATATAGGTGTTTCTTTTTATGGATTCTAAGAGTGAAAGACAATTAGAAAATAGTCTCCCCATCAGTTGTTATAAGGTCACCATGGTATCTGCCTGCCTTCCAAGAGACATCAAACAAAAATATCATTTTTAATCTCTGCTAGCCAGAGCAAGTTTAAAGTTATTGCTGGGATTTTTCAAAATGTATTATTTTTATTAATTGAAGTCAATAGAACTACATTATACCAGGCAGATAAAGCATAAAGATGCTGATGTGATTGAAAGGGTTATTTGGGGAAAGTTAAATTGAAGAGATTCAACTCTTAAACTATTTGATTTAATGCAGTGCTCTAAAATATGAGCTAACTTCTGCTCTCAGATTAGCTTTAATCTAGAACAACTCACTGAAGTCAATGGAGTTATTCCATTTTTCTGTTGGTATAGCTGAAACCAACTGTGAAGATATTTCCAATCAAGAGTACCTCCCACAGTACCACCTGATGTTTTAAATGTAATAGCTTTGCTTTTATCATTTATAATGCAGTTTAAAGAAAACAAAAAAATCTATTTGACTAATGGGGTTAGTTTGCTGGTTTTTGGTTCGGGTCTGTCCTTTGAAAGGAAGTGAGTTCCTAGAGAAGAGAGACAGAACTGAGAATTGAGAACTATGAAGTAAAAGATGAGCTGCAAAAAGCCATGGACTTTCTTGTTCCACCATGATCCAATGATCTAAGTAGTATAGGGATAAACCTATGATTGTTGAAATCAATAGCAAGACTCCCATTGAGAGTGGTGCAGGATCAAAGTTTATATGTGTACCCTTGTGCTATCGGTGGACAAGCTGAGAATATAACACTTAAGCAGCAATAAACCTCTGCTGTACAGTTCTTCTTTCTCAACATCATTAACTGAACTGTAGAAAGACTTGCATCATGAAAGGCTTTAGCAGTGATGCAAACTGAAGAGTTTGCAGCAGGCTGAACCAGTAGAGTTTTGGCTGTCTAATATGCACCATTGATGAGGCATGAATATTTGTAAAGCACTTTGAAAATAACATTGCTATGTGTAGTAAGTGCTGTTATTTCTTTTTATTTTTGTTGGTGGTGATGGCAGCTCTGGCAAATCTCAGTATCAAGCAATATCAATCAGATTTTCTAGATATATCAAGATACACTAATCAACGTGCTTCCATATTCATTCGACTAGCAAGCTCTAAAATGCATATAAGTAGGTAGTCAGATTTGAAACTGTAACACTTGAACACTGGAGATAGGCCAAATCCAGAATCTAGATTCTGCACCCTTTGAATTTCAACATGTCTGTATGGGAACAGATGTCAGAGTCCCTGGATTAGAAATGTCCACTCTAGTTTCATGTGCAAGCAGATCCAAGTCCTGAAGTAATCTATGATTCTAATGCAGCTGAAACCTCATAAGAAGAGCTGGTCTCATGAAATTTCTACCATTTGAAGGACAAAATTTTCAAGGATAATGTTTGAGATGTTGTCACCATCAGACCCGAATCCCCACCTGATCTCAAGCTGAATACAGCTCCACAGCTTATCCCTTCTTAAAACTAGAAAAGACATTCTCAGTACATGCCTTCTGGACCTTGATACTATATTGAGTTTGATGGACATCTTTATCTCAGCTGTATTTGCAGATATATAATGATGCAGATATGATAACTATCAAGAAGTTAATAATAAACTCAAAGATACACTGCTTGATCAGAAGTCTTCGTATTTTGTTGAGTTGACAGCACTATAGACCAAAATTTTTATGTAGACACCAGGGTGATTTTTTTTTAAAGTTCTTCCAGTACCAATCACCTCTCGATACCTCTCATCCATAGCTCACCCAGACAATTCTCGAAGCATCCATCAGAGCTTACACAATGTTGTTCAACAAAGCTGGTACAGTCCCAACAAAAGAGGGGTCGAAACCCTGAATGCGAACACCCCTGAATGCTCTGTGCTCAAAATCCAGAATCCCAATGTTGTACATTGGGCCAATCTCTAATACAAATGGGACTTCTTGGCAGCCAGTCATTTCTTAGCTTGGGAAGGGCTGGTTCTTTCTGTTGCCTGAAGGGAAATACAAAGGCCAAATCTCCACCCATTATGAACACAGCATTCTTCCTTTAGTATACCTTATAAAAGCACCAATTTATATCTGAAAGTAGACTAAAACATTGCTTCAGTCTCACTTCAAAGAAACAGCCTGACTAGCTGGAAGAATGAAGCTCTTCACGCTCTTTGGCTTGCTGTCTGTCTTGATCCTGTGCCTCAGTATTTTCTCTACAGAAGGTACAGTAACCTCCTACTAGCCATATCCGTGATGCTCTTATTTTTTCCTAGTCTTTTATTTTTCAACTTAAAGTACATATTTGCTATTTTTAGGCTGATTTCACAATCTTTAAAACTACCAACACCTGGTACTCTGAGATGAGCAATTAACTTTGCAAAGGAGTTAGTCCTGAAGAATTTGGTCTTGTACCAGAGCTTTCCATTTGTTTTATACTGTTACCTCTGCGCTGCAGAGCCATCTGTCTTGCTCTCTGTTGCACAGTGTTTATTATGCTAGTTTAAATCTTTCATCAGCTAAGTAACCTATTGTTGTGTTTCCCAGAGAACATCTATTTGGCAATACTTTCATGTGAACGCTGTTATATTTTCTGATTAGTTCACACTGTGGTGTGCACAAGAGGGGGCAAGCAGGAACATGCCATCCCCAATAATCAGTGTGGTCACAGAACTCCTCTGGCCCAAGACCACTTTATTGCAAGAGCAACTGTTATAACTGGCACTGGTCCTAGACCAACGATGGGAGAATTTCTGAAAACATTGGGTGTACATGTGGCATCTCCTGCTGATCCTTCACCTATCTCAGACTCTCCTCTCACCCTTCACTCCGCAGACTCACTTCCTGTCCTACAAGTTCATCTACTTTGCACCTTGTGACTGTCTCTCTGTAATGGATTTAAATGAAGCATACTGTATTAAAAACAAATCTTATTGTACGAGAGCTCGGTATGCACTGTTCAGATCTAATGATCAAGGAAAAACCAAGGTTTAAATGGCTAGGTCTCTTCAAAGCAATTCTCCCTACTCCCCAATGTGCACTGAAAATCTATCATTTCTTTGCCTAAAGCAGTTTGTCATGCATTGACTGTATTGACTGCCAGCATCTGACATTTCAAAGAGAGAGAGAAAATCTTTGTGATGTACTTAGCCAATTGTATCAACTAGCAATGATGGATGAGCAGCAAACTCCATTCCTGTTTCCTGCTGGTGATCAAGTTCTACACTGAAGCATCGCTTCTGATGACCCTTTTACTATGTGTTCTGCTTCGCAGTAAAGCTCCAGTTATCTTTGCGCAAAGATTTTCTATAAATGAAATAAAATCAATATCTATAGATTATATTCAGATATACACACGTTTATATACCCCATATCCTTTTGGTAACATGTTGTTTTTCACCTTTAGGTCGGGTCAGTCGAAAACCCTGCTGCAGACGAATTCCAAAAATTCGCAAAGGTAATAATAATATATATGAGTTTTTAGGTAGATTAATTACTTGGTATTTATAAATTAATCATAATACCTAGCACCATAGTGCTTTTTATCTGTAAATCTGACAGCACTTTCACAAAGGTAAGTAAGCAATATTACCCTCGCTGTACAAATAGGGAAAATGGGGCGCAGAGAGATTAAGTGACTTGCCAGTATAATGCAATAAATCAGAAGCTGAGTGTGAATAAAAGCCATGTCTTCTGATTTTCAGTCCTGTGCCATATCCAGTGGATAACACTGCCTCCACTTGAAGATGTTAATTGCTAGATAAGTTTTAAGTGTTAGTATTTGTTCAATAGAAAGAGGAACAACAGAAAACTCTAGTATTACTGGGTATGAGATGTGTGTGCTCTTCTCAATATAATCAGCTATCCTCAAACCTTCAGTGTTCTATAGGAATTTGGATCCATCACAATATCACCATGTGTAGTTCACCTTTCTTTCTTCCATGCATGGTCCTTTATTAAGCTTTTGCCTTTTCTCCCCATCTCCCACCTAACTCCTGTCATAATATGTTGAGCTTTGGCACGAGTTTTAAAAGAGTGGGTGTGTAAGGGAAATAAAAATATATAGACATGAGAGGTAAACATACCTGTTTCCACAGCACAAGAGTGAGTAGAAGTGAAACCACTTTAGGCCACAGAATAAAACAATCAGAGAAGGCTAATTCACTCCTATTTTAATGTGTAATGACCATCTATCGGTACATGCTATGCAAAAAGTGTTGCTATTGTTTTGAAGGCAGGTGTAACATTTTTTCTGATATCAGTGTTTCTTATAAATAAGAAAAAGAGAACCCACAATGGCAAATAGGTCATTCTGTGGTTTGCATGGTCCTTCTCTTGTCCTTTGTCTGCTCAGGTCCCACTTAAATGTCCACTGAATTCTCAATGCATATTTTATTATAGATTTTAATCTAAAGCACATCTCTGTAAATCAAATACATTTTTTATTTTATTTCTGTTAGGATTGAAGCTCTTCCTGCACCCTTCAGCTTACAAATATCCAACTCAGCCTTAGCAGAGAAGTTTAAGAATTGAGTGGGCAGGAGTGCACTTGTATTCAGATGGAACTGAACTGTTTCTAATAAGATGCATTTCCTGCTGTGACACACTGAGAGCACTTGTTCCGTAGGGAAATAGGAAAGGAGCATTGTTTAGCATGAGAAAGACATGGAAGTATTCACAATTTAAGCTGTCTTGGTCAGTAAGACACACAAACCAAGATTTTCAAAAATGAAAAATGCTGGCCACTCACCCTCACCCTCATTCTCTAGTTGAGCACCCAAAATCATTAGTCATTTTTTAAAAGCATGACCATAGCTCTATGGTATTTTTGAGGGTATCGGTGTTTATTGTCAGAAGCTACATCTACGTTTTGGAGCTGGGGGTGTATCCCCAGCTTGAGTGCGAGCACATGCACTAGCTCGCATAGAGCTGGCATGCTAAAAATAGTAGAGAAGTCATGCTAGCAGGTGTGGGGTATACATGGGGTGAGTAGCCCATGCTACCACTCACCACTGCCATGCTGTTGCGGTCACACTGCTATGCTTAGTGCACTAACTCGATGAGAGTTTGCCCAACTATGACTACTTGAGCTGGGAATCACACCCCCACCTCCAGGTTTAGACACAGCCACAGTCAGGATCTCAGTGTAAGTATTCACATCTACAATTAAGTATTCACTTTGTGCATTCTCTTTTATTTGTTTAAAATTTCCTGTATTACCTGCCCATTCTTGCCAGTCAGCTCACTTGTTGGGATGTTCACAAAATGCGAACACGCAAAGCGTGTACTGATGTACTTTGCCAGTTCTAGTTAACGATATTTTTGGCAGCTAAAGAAATATTTCCTAAAGAAGAAATACATTTTCAAAGCTGCTTTTCAAAACACCTGTCTCCATTTCACTAGTTAGTGAATGTGGTGGTTGACCCAAAATAAGACCCTGATCTTGAGAATACTCAGTGCTTACCTTTCTGCATGTCAGTGGTCTCGTTAACATAAATGAAGCACATGCATAGGTCTTTGTAGATCAGTCTCTGTATTCTTTAGAAATCATTACATATATAAAGGGCAAGAGTAAATATTGCAGAATAAAGTTTTTAATTTTAAAATGTTTTCAAATTTATTTTGAAATTACCCTTTTGTTTAAATTTCTTAAATTGACCTTTTGTTAAGGTTAATTTGTTTGTTTAGCAAAAAGAACGGGAGTACTTGTGGCACCTTAGAGACTAACGAATTTGTTAGTCTCTAAGGTGCCACAAGTACTCCCATTCTTTTTGCGGATACAGACTAACACGGCTGCTACTCTGAAACCTGTTGTTTGTTTAGGTTTACTCTTTTGTTAAAGGTTTTGTTAAGGTTTAACTTCGGTTAAATTAATCTTTTTTAAGTATATTGACTTGGCAAACTGGGAATGGTACCAATTCCGTCTTATCTGGGTAGCGTGAAGATGTGATTCTCTCAGAAATATGGTTTAATTATCATGTGGAATGGAGCCAGAGGATTTTTCCGGATATTGACTCAGTTACGCCCTGCAGCATTGCCAGTGCATTCCCAGGCAAGCCTGAACACACTTGGCAGTGTTACTCTCCTTTTCAATGTAGGTCAAAGAGAGGAAGAGTTCATTCTTTGCTACTGGATGGGATAGATGGGAATGGATGCTTTGTCCCAGTTGAATCTACTATCTCTCCAGAGCACTGAACTGAAATCTCCAGTCTTTGTTAATCTGACTGAGAAATCTTCTAGGGTGTCAAGTATCAGGGGGTAGCCGGGTTAGTCTGTATCCACAAAAACAACAAGGAGTCCGGAGGCACCTTAAAGACTAACAGATTTATTTGGGCATAAGCTTTCGTGGGTAAAAAACCTCACTTCTTCAGATGTCTTCTTCTAGAGTGTGAAGATCTGACAAGATTTCAAACTCCATTTGTAAAACAGTCATTTGCTTTTTCTGATTGGTTTTTGGAGGTGTTAATGGAGTAGAATGTCCCTCAGGTGAGGGCCTTTTCAATGTGTCCCTTTACAAATTCTTAGGTCTGCTGTTTTCCATGTGCAAATACCGATAGGTTTCATGGAACACTGGAGAGGGCTCTGCTGGGAAAAAGAGGTCCATGGAAGGGAGCTCCTCATAACAATCTACAAAGCCACCACATTGTCCTTAAACTTCTCCTCTGCCATGATGCCTACAAAAACTCACTGATGGTTAGACTGACAGCTGGTGTGCTGTGACCTCTGCTTCTCTCACTGTTCCCTCATGCTCCCCATAGTCTGTATGTATCTTTCTGTTGTCTTTTGCCACATACTCAGATTGTAATCTCTTCAGAGTATGGGTTTGCTCAGTTCCCAGCACAATGGGCCTCCTGCTGCTGCTAATTACAAATAATAAATAATTATCAGTAGCTCCTCTTTCTCCACTGCTCAAAGTGTGCCTCTTAAATATAGGTTCACCTATACAAAAACATCAGATCTGAACCCACTCTGATCCTGATCTAGAGACAAACTTCAGTGCTCAGTCTTGTCAAAATTGGTCAGACCAGCATTCAAATATGATTCTGGAGCTGAACTTCCCAGCCCAGGCCCATCTCTTTTGTGTTCATATTGAATTACTGGGGTAATGGTAGATCTTGTGTCATAGGCTTACCTGCTGCTTTCTCTAAGTAAAAATGATTTTTTTTTTAATTTAAGACATTTTGAATACAAACAAGATAGTTGTTCCTTAAACATTCCTTGACTCCTGTTGCATTTTCCCCAACTCAAGTCATATTTATCTGAGGTTTGGTTAATGCTTAAAACTACCAGCATAGCTATGTCAGTCAGAGGTGTGAAATAAACCACACCCCGGACTGACATAGCTATGCCAGCAAAAATTCCAGTGTAGACACAGCTATGCCGACATAAGAGTGCTCCTGTCAGCATAGCTAACGTTATTCAGGGAGATAGTGTTTCTATCCTAGCAGAAAATCTCCTTCTATTGCAGTGTACATTGTGTCTATACAGTTACCATAGGACTATGTCTGCAAAGGCCTTAGTGCAGACATAGCCTGAGACATCGGACAGCCAGATCTGGGGATCCAAATGGAGAGTATGACTTTAGGGGGAAAATAAGCAACCAGTTTCAGATTAAATTTTAACAAACAAAGATGCTGATTTCCTAAATATAGTTCTAATACCAAAACTGAGGCAATAAAAATGATGGAAAGCATAAAACGTGCAATATTGTCAACCAGATAGTTCATTCTAAGTGGGCTGGAGTATGTGGTGGGGTGAGCCAGCATGCATGTTCGTTTGCTGTGAGTCATGGGTTAGAGTGAAAGGGTAGTTTTGTCCCTATGCCCATCCAGTCCTTTGCCTTTCTGCGAAGATGGCCAACAACAGTGACAAATACAATGACAGTTTCTATGATGGGGCATCTGTCCGTTGGGAATTAATCACTTCCATCAGCCAAATGTTGAAGGACTTTGCATTCTATTATCAATCCCCTAAAATATCCAATCATTCTTCTTTTGGGTTCTAGTGTATCTAGAGTAATGGGATATTTTCAGATCATTGATGTTCTTAATACTAGGCTGTCAGGGCCTGATCCAAAGCCTGTTCAAGTCAATGGGAGACTTTCAGCTGACTTCAGTAGACTGTGTATCAGACTCTAGTGTCGATTATTCTAATGTAGCAGGTTGGTATCCAAAGACTGAATTTTTTGGGACAAGGTAAAGGCTTCAATTTGTTCTGTTACTAAAAATGTACACATTGCTGCATGCTTGTAGTTAAACATTTCCTCCTTCTCTCTCTCCTTTCCATCTGTGTTTTACAGGCAAGGCTGTTCAACTAAAGAGACACCACTGCACACCATGTAAAAACTCAAAAAGAATCCCTGGGCCTCCTCAGAAACCAGGACCGCTTCCTCAGAGTTAAAGTGAACAGCCTCAGCAGCACGTAAAAGGCCTGCGGTCCATAGCAGTCTGGCTGCCGCCACATCTCATAATGTTTTTATTTGGTTTGGGGCCCTCTGTGGGGGAATCATCCTTTCAGATGAAAAGGAGTGTATATGCTTTTCAGTCACTAATGTTCATCCATTCATAGCGTTCTCTCCTCTCCTTTGCATAAAGTTAAAACTCTCTAGCTGGGGTGCTAAAGCCTTTCTGTGAAGTGGGCTGTCGCTCGTCTTCAAGCTTTCTGCAGTTACACATCAGCCCTCCATTCCATTAGTGGATCTCTCCCAACCAGTGGTAGAGTGAACAGATCCAGCTAGAAAGCCTTCCACACCACCACTCTGTTTGACATAATTTTGGCACGTAAATCTGTGCTGGTTGGGGATGGCCTGTTTGTTTTTCCTTATAGTCAGTTTTTTTCCCTAAACCCACATTTCTGGAAATGATTTATCTTAGATCAGCAAACGGATCACAATTTTAGACAGATGTCTGGGTGCTGAAATTTGCCTCTATGCAGAGGACCCAGATGAAGCCCATCAAGGCAACACTTAAGTCTTGCATGAGTGCTTAGAATTTGTACTGGCCCTCTCCAGAGAGCTGAATTTCTTCCACATGAGAGAAAGCTCCACCTTTTGGGCAGGAGCTGATAACCAGGACAGAGGGGCAAACAGGTCAATTTGAAGTATTCATTAAGGACTTGATATAAAGCCAGTGGAAAGCTTTCCACTGACTTCATTGGGCTTTGGATCAAGCTCTAAAATGCAGATGCCTTATCTCTAGGAGAATGGCATTACTTGGTTGATGAGCAATATTCAGAAAATGCCTTAACATTAATTATTTAACCCTGTTCTTTCTGAAATTCTAGGGCAATTGTTCCTCTAAGTACTCCTGAATTTGGTGTTTCATGGCACATAAACAAAAGCACATTTTGAAGGGGTGGAATAGAATGATACCAAGGCAGTGAAAATTGAGGACAACAGAAAGTGCACTCAGACCTGATTGGCAGGGCTCGTTTGCAGTTAACTCTATAAGTACAGTGGTCCCCAGTTCAGACATTAGATGGGTTCCATCATTTTTTACATTTACATTTCTGCTTGGTGTTTAATATTCTCATTGTAATATAGGCTCTCTATCTCCATGCTCAGGAACTAAAGAATTGACTTTCAACGGAGATAGGCAAGTGCCAAATGTCATTAGTCTCAGAGGTCACAAATGTGAATCAGCTATTTGAATGTTCTAGTTCATTGGCGCACACATTAATTTCAGTTTTGTCATTGTTTCATAGTTTGCTGAATGAATCTCTCTAATACAAGTAAATGTAACACATGTGGATTGTGAGCTGTTTGGGGCAAGGAGGATGACTTACTGTCTAAAAATCACCATATAAATTTATGGATGAAGAAATGATTTTAAGTAGTAATAACCAGGACTGGGATTCTGGTCTCTAACATTAGTTTAACCCCATTCGTTTTCATCTCAAAGCAAGTGACATGTTTCTCTGAAAAAAATTAGCCCTTTAAAACAACATATTTGAAACTTAGTGTCAGCTGGGACAGATGATGATGGTGGATGCTTCCACAATAACCCAATCCCAGTTGATGGGAGAAGGGGAAGAAAGAGAGTTTGAAACTGGATAACAAAAACTTAAGTTCAAAAATACATTAGCAATAGTAGAAAAATATATTCCGTGGAATTTTTCCCATTAAAGGGCCTGATTCTGCAAACTCTTACACATGTGAGTTACTTTATTTACATCTATAGTCAAACTGAACTCAGTAGGACTACTTGCATGACTAAAGTTACTTGAGTGCAGGAACATTTTCAGCATCTATTCCCTAAAGGACAAACTAAAGTATTTTTACTACCTAGTAGCATGCAACTAGAATCTGCACGTGGCATAAGTTACAGTACTTGTTCTTCCCTTTCTTTTCTCTTGGATTATGTATGTTTGGCATTACCTAGATCTAAAAATATTTTACTTACTGCATTTAAAATAGGCCAATAAATATATTATACAAAACCTAGGCTGACCAGATAGCAAGTATGAAAAATCGGGACGGGGGTGGGGGGGTAATAGGAGTCTATATAAGAAAAAGCCCCAAATACTGGGACTGTCCCTATAAAATCAGAACATTTGGTCACCCTAACAAAACCTATCCTAGCTTATCTTGCAAATGTATTAGGTTAAATACATTTAAGCAGAACAACCATGTACCCTACAAAATACAATAAAGATATTTTTGAATGATCCCTGTGTTTGCCTGAATAAGTGATGGACTCTGAGCTTCTGTGATTCCTGGAGTGACCCATGGGATAGTTCAATAACTGGACATTTGAAGGATGGTAGTAAGAGCAGTAATATTAGAAAGCAAACATCATGACACAGGCAGGAGTCTTTATCTGAAAAGGAGGAAGAAAGGTTCTGACTTCTTTCAAAATCAGTTATTAGAAGAAATAAAATGGTATACAATCATGTTTCTCTTATACCTGAAGGAATGAAAAGAAGATTATTATGTAGCCGCTGGTCATTGTGTATTGTTTGTCCCCCTCTGTACTCAGTCCACAGAGGATGAAAGTCTGTTACCTCTCAGTGCTAGAGAGATTGCTTCTTTAGTTCAAGTTGTAGAGACTCATGATTTTAGCTTTGGTGGTCTCCAGTTCAATCCCTGCTGTTGGCCAAGACGGTGGTATTTACAGCTGGGTCTACTTACTTAACAACAATATTGTACATGGATAACATTTCCTCTAATTGCTATGCACGCCCATCAGAGTAAAGGAACAAAATCAATTCTCTTCTCCCTTACTCCACCAAAGGATAAGCAAGTTTAGTTCATATACTAATTAAGAGCAATGAGTAGGTAAACGAAATATACAAGGACAGAAGGGGCAAAAAATAAAATAAACTCACTGCTTTTTGGTCAATAGGCCTTTTAAGTACAGAAGAATCAGGGATCAGATGGGGGCCAGGCTACCCCATTCCAAATAACACCAACTGTACAAAAGCCCTGGTGACAGCAGGAGAAGACATAGGAGAGAGGAAGTGGTACCAAGGTAAGACTGAGTCTCAACGAGAAGAGACAGCTGTCTCTTTAAGGATCCAGGGCCAGGAGCCTTATAATGAAGGGTAGAGTAAGGTTCCCCTCCCTCCCAATCAACCAATTAATCCTCCAGCCAATCAAAACAAAACTCTATGGGGGAAAGCAGCACTTAAGACTCTCTGCTCCTCAGTGAGGGAGGGCTCCTGGAGGGAGACACTGCTCTGCTGGTGAACTAGCAACCCCCTGGAAGTCTCCATGCCAGGCTGTGGGAGAACAATGAGAAACTACTCCACCCAGAATATACACTGGCTGCTTTCAAGGTTTGAGTTTAAAATAATTTTGATTTTAAAAGACATTGTCAGCCAGGCCACATGGGGCTGGTGCCAGGAAATGTAAAGAGCCCACCCAGAAAGACAGGCTCCAGGCAGTCAGCCGACTACAGTCTTGATCCAGTTCACCAATGTACAGATACAGAACAAAAGCGTTGCCATCCCTTCTCATTAAGAACCTGACCCGGAGCCCAGTGAAATCAATAGAGAGACTCCCACTGATTTCAATGGGTATTGGATCCAACCCTAAGTGCTCACCTTATGATTCCACTTCATGCATCATTGCTATGGCACACATCATATTAGTCATCTCACAGTCCAACACCAGCTGAGCACAGCAGTCTGGAATTTTTAAAGGGTGCACTATTAAGAAAACTCACAGAATCATAAGACTGGTAGGGACCTCTAGAGGTCTTCTAGTCTAGTTCCCCTGCACTCATGGCAGGACTAAGTATTATCTAGACCATCTCTGACAGGTGTTTAGCTAACCTGCTCTTAAAAATCTCCAATGATGGAGATTCCACAACCTCCCTAGGCAATTTATTCCAGTGCTTAACCACCATGACAGGAAGTTTTTCCTAATGTCCAGCCTAAACCTCCCTTGCTGCAATTTAAACCCATTGTTCCTTGTCCTATTCTCAGAGGTTAAGGAGAACATTTTTTCTACCTCCTCCTTCTAACAAACTTTTATGTACTTGAAAACTGTTATCACGTTCCCCCCTCAGTCTTCTCTTCTCCAGACTAAACAAACCCAGTTTTTTCAATCTTCCCTCATAGGTCATGTTTTCTAGACCTTTAATCATTTTTGTTGCTCTTCTCTGGACTGTCTCCAATTTGTCCACATCTTTCCTGAAATTTGGTGCCCCAAACTGGACACTATACTCCAGTTGAGGTCTAATCAGCATGGGATAGAGAGGAAGAATTACTTTTTGTGTCTTGCTTATAAACTACGGCTAATACATCCCAGAATTATGTTTGCTTTTTTGCAACAATGTTACACTGTTGACTCATATTTAGCTTGTGACCCACTATGACCCCCAGATCCCTTTCTGCAGTACTCCTTCCTAGGCAGTCAGCTCCCAGTTTGTATGTGTGCAACTGCTTGTTCCTTCCAAAGTGGAGTACTTTGCATTTGTCCTCTATTTAATTTCATGCTATTTCAGACCATTTCTCCAGTTTGTCCAGGACATTTTGAATTTTAATCCTATCCTCCAAAGCACTTGCAATCCCTTGCAGCTAGGTATCATCTGCAAACTTGATAAGTGTACACTCTATGCCATTATCTAACTTATTGACAAAGATATTGAACAGAACTGGGAACCCAGTCAATTTGCCCTTTTAGCTTGACTGTGAACCACTGATAACTACTCTCTGAGAATGGTTTTCCAACCAGTTATGCACCCACCTTATAGTAGCTCCATCTAAGTTGTATTTTACTAGTTTGTTTATGAGAAGATCATGTGAGACAGAACCAAAACCTTACTAAAGTCAAGATATACCATGTCTACCGCTTCCCCTCATCCACAAGGCTTCTTACTCTGTCAAAGAAAGCTTGGCTTAACACAATTTGTTCTTGACAAATCCATGCTGATTGTTACTTATCACCTTATGATCTTCTAGATGTTTGCAAATTGATTGCTTAATTATTTGCTTCATTATCTTTGTGGGTGCTGAAATTAAGCTGACTGGTCTGTAATTCCCTGGGTTGTCCTTTATTTCCTGAGAAACAAACATCTGGGAAGTTTACTCAACAGGCAGGGATGTTTTTTCTCATTCCATGGAAAAAACTTTAACTGATAAGCTCTTATGCCCCAAATCAGACAGCTGGGCCCACCAGATATGCACAGTTGGCTGAGTCACTGCTACTTCATTTGTAGAACTCTCTCAAATATTAGTTCCTCTCTTTCCAGTGCCTGTGGGGGAAAGCGAGCATTCCCCATACAACTCACCCACCATGCGATAACTTCTTCTCACTGCTCTCTTATGGTATGTTGTCTTTTTCATCCCAAAGTCACTTGTGCCCCGATTCAGAGCCTGTAATTAATACTGTAAGATTTAGTACTGAACTATCAATTTTATTGATTGTGTCCTGCCTGGCGGCTGATCTACACAGTACTGCGTAAACACCACTAAGGGGTCCTGTCCTTCCAGGTGCTGAAGGTTCTGATCTGGCAGCTATTGGCACTGAAGAAATTCCCTAAGTATGAGTTCTATCCTCTCAAGCATGTAAATGCAGGAGTGAAAGCATTCTCTCTTTCCTGGAAAAGCAGAAAGGTGGGTTTGGGAATAGGGTTGAAGTTTGAGCTCCTGAGTCATAGACCAACCCTCAATATTTATTTTTGTCTCATCTGTATTTCCTTATAAACTCCTTCAGGTGAAGGAAGATTAATGTCACATTTTCTACTTGACTCACCTTCTGTGTGGGAATGGCTAAGGACAGGGATTTGCTGTGGGATAATCATCTTATAGTCATAACACCATCTGTCCAGCCCACAAAAGTGTAAACCAAGAAATTGGGTCACTGAGTGTCATTGAGAGCAGCCAAACTGAGAACATACTCATCTTGCTGTATGCAGTGTTCTTGTAGCTGTGTTGGTCCCAGGATATTACAGAAACAATGTGGGTGAGGTAATATCTTTTATTGGACCAATTTCTTTTGGTGAGAGAGACCAGCTTTCCCATCATGACACACACACAAAAATTCTGGAATTGCAACATACGGGTTACAATTTCTGAAGCTGAGTCAAACAACCTGCTAGTCATGTTCCTGAGAGCTGGTTAGCACTTGTTATAGAAATACAAAGCAGATGTCCATGAGGGAGTTAAAGCTACTCATGATGGAGGAGAGACATTCAAGACCAAACTTTCAGAAAAGGAAGGATGAATTAGTTTGTATGCAAAAAATAGATGCACAACATGTATCCATAATTACAAGTGCAAAATGGGCTGTTGTGAATGGAAATAGACAATTATAGCCTGCTAAACTATCCATTTGCATGTGCAACTGTGGTAAATGTAGTATTTGAGTACGCTGAAGGGAACAAATATTTCCTGAGTCCTAGGCTCCCTGAATACAAATGTTAACTTTATCTAAATACTAACCATCTTCCCCCTCCCTACTTATAAGGTGGCTGTCTGCTATGAGTAAAGGGGCTTCAGTATTCAGCAATGTCAATCCAGCAAATTTTGCTACCCTAACACTTTTGAAAGTGGGACTATCTAAAGGTCATTAGGAACCAAGGCCCCCAATTAAAATCTAGCAGAACTTATTTTTGATTGTACTTTTCTGAATTAGGTGGGCAGGAGGTTCTCCTCACTTTTGCTTTTTGTTCCTCCTCCAAAGGCTCTTTATTGTACTGACCCAGCCAAGGATTAAACACAAATCCCTCCAGGACTTATCAGAGCTGTTCTTGGGCAAAGGGCTACCTTGAATGAGATGTTCTTCTTATAGTGTATTCACCTCCCAAGACAGCTCAGAGCCCAACACACTACCAGTCCCCAAAGAGATTGTTAACTGACTATCTTTCCAGCCTACACCTCCATGCCTAATGGTATTAAGCTGACTTCCTGGGTGATATTTGCATAAGGCCTAATCTGTAAAGTGAAATCTCCCCCATAATTATCTTCCATTTCCCCCACCACATGCTTCTCATCAATAATTGACAAGTATAACCTTGACATTTCCCCCCAACTTCATTGTATACTGTGTTCACATGTTTCTTAGTAGATTTATTACAGCAGCTGAATCAAAGAGGCAGGTAACTATGCCTCTTTGATGAGCCTACTGGAAAGTTCCAGCAGTAGTGGTGGTTGTTTGGTTTGTTTGTTTGTCTTTCCTTGGACACCTTGCTCATGCAAACCTGCCTGTGTAGCAGCAGGAA